GTCCATTAGTTTTCTTTTGTCAAATTATCTTTACTGTTTTATTGGCTCGAGTCATTGTTATTATAGGTCGGGGACCTTTGATGACTCTCACTTTTCGTGAATAAATAATAAATACTTGTACTAAATATTGAGCTTTTGCTCTCATTTACGTTACGTTTTCGTACATATCCAATGAGTACGCTATTCTCCATACTTTTCTTCTTCAATTAAATATAAACTCATACTTACATTTTCAAATAGAAAACTTTTGATTCACCAGTTGTTGCATTTGGTAAAAGATGTTTATCAAGTAAATCAAGTATATCTTGACAGATATCACGCAACTCCTTTTCAACCTGAATATAAAATCAGCGCTTAGACAATTTTATTTCTTCATTTTCGAATCTGCTTTACACACTCACCTGTGATCTGTATTTTTTAATAAGTGCCATTTTATCATTTTCTGACTTGCTTTCTTCTTTACTTTCAATATTTGTTATTATTCGCCAACTACAACACGAAACGAAACCATAATATTACTTTAAGAGAATAAACCAATTATATAGCAAAAAAAACAATGCTGAGGCGGTATGAGAGTTTTTCTTTTCATAGGGCCTAGGACTTTTTCTTTGATTTTACGTTGATCAAAAACATCACATGCTCTACTGGTAGTATTATGGAGGATCCGAAAATAACTGACGTCCGTGATTAAAGGAATACTGAAGGAAACAGACGACTAAAAATAATATTTAAAAGCAAATATCTGGACAGCTTTGGTTATTTACCTCGCACGTCGTGCACCAATCAAGTTTTTATATGCAACTGATAATAAATTTCTTTCTTCGACGCTGAGTTCAACATCAGCTGCAGCAACCTTTTTCATTGAATCAACCATTTCTAAGCAAATGATAGAAATGAACGATCTTAGTTAGAATAGCATAAGAGTATACAACACAATAAACAAACCCTCATAGCGTTCAGCCTGTTCGGCTAATTTTGCTTGATAAACATCATCTTCTCTTGATGGTGCCATTCTTAATTATTTATTTATTTTTTATATATTCAACAATCTTAAATTAATTTTAATGAGGTGGAAATTTTTTTTTTTTGTTATTCTAATGTCGTCGGTCTTTTTTTCTGTAACAAAAAAAATCATTAACTATCAGTACAAGCAAATAAAGACCGAATGACACAGAGAAAAAAGCATCCATATATTGGTCGTAGCTATAAACAAACCTGTTCAGGTATGCTCATCTTTGTTATAAAGTAAAAAGAAAATATAACGATACGTTTCGAAAGCAACTATTATAGAAAATGTTAGTAAAAAATCGCACAGGTTCTTTAGAGCTTTTTTGAAGTGCATAAGTAATCTAAAAGCGCTATGGTACGTAAACTTGTGCCACCTACAGTAAAACTGTTATTAGTAAACACCTTGTTATGAACACTCTCACGTCCAACGGAACGATTTTTGTGGGAAATACATCTCACTATTCTGAATATGAACACTTTTCTTGCTGTCCCTCTTGCTATTATAACCTTTCTAATGTGAACACATATGCAATGTTTCTCTCACTCTCTCTCTCTGAGAACTGTCTATCATCTGTCTCTTATTTACTAAAACTGATTACACTTTATGTACTAGAACTGACTATTGTACGTATGAAAACAAGGAATGACATCAGGACACGAGGCTAACCTTTAAAGAAAACATTGAATTAATCAATGATAATAAGGATGGTAAAGGTTTATCACAACTAAACGTAAATTAGCTGAAAAATATAATATTCCACTTGGTTTTGTATCAAATATATTAAAACGTACAACGGAATATTTAAATGATTATGAAACAAACCAGAATCAAAATATTAAACGAAAATTAAATAAATTAAATTCAAATACATTTTTTTTAATATAAACTATTTTACATGTTCATTAGTTTGCTTTATCACATGACTAAGAAATCTCAAGTTTATATCGTTACTACAAAGATGATGGAGAAAAAGAATATATTTAAATGAAAAGAGATGAACAATAGAAGTTCCGAATAAAATCAGAACTAGTGTAGCAGCAGACAGACATTCTAACACTTTTTCTTCATTTCACAACAAAAAATGCATCATCTCTCTAAAGTGAACACCTCTCTATAGTGAACGCTTTTGAAGAGTACCGATGGTGTTCGTAATAGAGAGGTTTTACTGTAGATAAAACGTGGACAGATGTTTTTTTTTGAATTCTTATTGTTAATAGCAGTGCTATCATAAAACTAACGTCGTGATCACATGTGTTCAAGAAAAGAGTTTTTCTCGTACTTATGGTTTCGTTTTTCTTTTTTTGTAGTTTAGACATTTTTTATTTCTTGAAAAAATGATTTTGTTCTTTTCTTGTATCGAAAAAGAACAGTACAGTACTGAAAAAAGAAATGCAAAGAAATTCAGGCAAAGCTTCATTCAAGACACAAAAAAAGGATTACTACATGAAGAGTTTAACGATTGATCAAACCAGCAGAAAATTAGGTGAAATCCTATCAAATCACATACGACTCTACACGATCCTATTTACTCCTTTGTAGAATCACATCGGATCATATTTGATCCTATTATGTGATCTAAAAGGATTCGATTATACGCTGCCAAAAAACAATGTCGTGATAAACCACTCGGCTAGCTTCAAAATACGTCCACAATACGTTTTGAAGGCATATTAGATGCATTTTCTCATCTTTTTACTGTATTTTAGTCGCCTTAATGTCTTCAAAAAAAACACCTAAGTCGCTGCTTTTTTGAAAAAAAATAGTTTAAGTGCATTTGATAGACATCACTAATACATCAAAAACGCACAACGCACTAGCTACGGTCAATACACCTAGTCGCCCATCCGTCACAGAACATGCCGTCACATTCAAGGCAACGAAAATACATCGAGACTGTTATCAGACACGGAGTTATCCTGATACCTAGCCAAGACACCTCTGGCAAGTGAAATATCCTTCTTATGATAAAAAATATATAAAATATTCGATCTTACAGTGCTTTCATACAGAAATGGCTATAATGCTGTTCAATACACAATTTGTAAATCAGTATATCTAAACAAGATTTGGCTGCATTTTGCTCGATTTAGTTTTTTCTAATCTCATTTCAACTTTGTTTCTTTGCAAAAATATATTTATTAATCGAAGATAATATATTTTTTTAATACAACTCAACAGTGGAAAATAAGTAATTACATAAATATGAAGTTTTCTATCGTATCCAGCATCTTTCAAATTAATAAGATATAAAGACTAAAAACCCTTTTTTTAGTTGAAATGAGATTAGGAAATACTACATCGAGTAAAATACAGCCTAATCTTGTTCAGATATATTGATTTACACATTGTGTATTGAACAGTGTTATAACCATTTCTGTATGAGAGCACTGTAAGATCGAAAAATCTCAACATACCAACATCAAAGTAGTTATTCACTAAAAAGGTTCTTTCATTGCGTAATATTTTTGAAGTGAGGGAAATCTGATGATTTCCGGTCGTACTTTATATAGAACCGAAAACCGTCTGAACGATACTTTGACCATTCGCTGTTCCAATACATACACTCAGATATATTTGGAAGTTAAAAATCCCATAACTAACAAGTAATTGAGTCCTTTTTTCCTAACCCGACTATATCCAAGAAGAGAAACTAACGTTCTTTCTATTCTCTAGATAGACTTATTGATCTCTTTTTTCCACGTTTTTTGTGGTAGCCCAATTTTGTATGGCATCCCAGTGTATCTAATGGACCCAGGAAGCCTTAAGAACAGTGAGATGCTCTAATTTATGCATCCAAAATGCCTTGACTAAGCATCCACAATGTCTCACGCAGACACCATGGGTGCATAAAACTGGAATCCAGGGACCTTCATGAGGCATGGTAACGGATCTTTTACATTGAAATTTTATCTTTTTCAAAAATGCACCTCTTTTTTCACAGTGTAGCCATCCTACAGGATTTCCACCACTAAGATTTCCTGTAGAATCCTAAAGGATTTTGACAGAGTCATGCTCGATACTACAATGGGATCCTGCAAGATCTTATGAGAGGTTGTGAGATTATAACTTTTTCTAAAGAAAATTCCTACTTTAAAATGTTCTGGTTGTCTGACGCCCGTCATTTCCAGCAACTATACGAGGGATCTAAAGGATACTAGCGGCTACTCGTGGAGACAGTGATGAGGTAAAAGTAGCTATATTTTTCGCCCTCTAGTTGTCTTAGGATACTATGTAGATGAGCACATGGACATAACCACCTTGCTTTCTCGGAGCTACTTAGTTGTCATTCTTTACTAACAATCAGACAGCCAGAGCATTTTTAAAATAGTTTTCTCTTTTTCTTTGGATAATTAAACTTTTTTCGACGTTCACAAACAGAGAACGAAATCACTACGATGGTTTCACTTATGCCCGGACGGAGCGTCGTATGACTATAGTACGACAGACCTGCATGTATGTATATATATATCACGTTATGACAGGTACTATGCCATTTCGATAGCTCCCGGAACACATGTGTCTTGTCTGCAGGTCGAAATTTTTCCAAGTTATAATCTTGCAACCTATGGGAATACCAAGAGATGTTGTGAAAAGTACTTATTAATTATGATTCTTTGTCTTGTTATTAATATTGAAACTAAAATTCTCGAAAAATATTGGTTTCAGACAGCGGCTAGAGAATTTCTGAGTATGCTGATAGTAGTCTCAACTGAAATTTGTTTAAAGCATTAGCAAACCCATAGTTCGTGCCTCTGATAATTTTTCTTTCTATCCAACTAAAGTAATGTAAACGCTACACATATCTAATCACTTCATATGAAACTGTTTAGATTAATCGGTGAATTTTCATTTTGCATACTATATAGACTGACATTATCAATTATCCGCGTTCTGATATTATTTGTCTTGGCACTAGTTCATTGTAGTCCATTCTATCACAGTAGTATCTGAATGACAACAGTACGAGCTTTTGAAAACCGCATAGAATGGTATCTGTAATAGTATACTATAGTTTTAATAATTTGTCTTATTACTAGCATAACAACACTAGACGAGCGAAGCCACTACATTGCGACGTGGTAGAATTAGATGTTCGATGACTTATCACAACTTTCATATGAAGGACACTTAGGCAATGACCACAAACAGGATCGATTTAACAAAGCTACAGCACTCCCTATATGTGGCCCTAATATGTGGATACTACTAAAAAAGTTTGCCAACTATAAGAATCAATGGGTTGGCGGGGACCTACTGCTGTCTATATAATATACATTCACATTTGAACTCAATAGTGAAAGGGATAGTGAACCTATTCGTAGCAACAAATGACAAACCTTTCGCAAATAATAATCGCACGGACCAGCACGCATGACAAAAAATTTACACATTGTCACATTTAGTCTAACATATTTCCAATAGTAGATCGGATGGTAATAACTGCATCATGACTATATTTCCTGTTGTTATTCGCCACGTCGTCTTTCATGATATTTTTTGCTATTATCACCAAAGACAATAGAGACGCGTCAGTGGGCACATAGTATGTGTTTGTGTATATGCCACATACACCAACTAAGCTGCGAAGAGAACGTTGAATAGAATAGAGTAGCTATATCAATAAAAACCAAGTTGGATTTTAGTCCGACAACTTATAGAGAAGAAAAAGAAAACGAACATAAAGAAACGATAACTCTTTTCGTACGATATAAGCTGACGAAGAGAAAACGATCAACACAATCATATAAACAGACAGACGACTTTTTTTCTTCCCGAATAAAAGGTTCAGCAAGTATTCTATGGAACGACATGTGTACAAACATGGGTGAAAGAATGATCTCTGTCAGTTGTATCTGTGTTTCAATGAACTATTTATTTTCAGATCGATGTAACCGTTTTCGTGTAGTTTAACTCAGAACATGTTATAAACGGTTTTTTAGACATTTAACAACCTGAAAAGCAGCCACTTACCGGAAGGCTTTTCCAATTACGTTGAATCCGTTAAAGAATCATGTTTAGAACATTTTTTAAAGTTCACTCAATTAATTCACTCCAAAATATTTTTTTTCTCATTTTCTTTATCTCTTTGGATCATGATGCTGTTAATAGTGTCAGATAATAGACTAAGGCTACTTCCTCAAGACAAACTTCGATGACTTGTGTGGTGTAGAAAGAAAATATTCTAAATTTTCCAGAGTAGTAGTGAAATAAAAGAAGTAACTAACGCCAAAACGGAAGCTGTTAACGGACCGTTTATGATACGATTTTATGCGTTCTGGATGACCAGGGTTGTTGACAACTTTTATCTCGTTTATTTGAGTTAGGCAATATTTTTTTCTATTTTAATACATCTACCCTTGTTATATTACAGGTATTTTCGATCATTTGGTTGATGTCGTCTTCTCGTTGTTTGTATTATTTACTATCTGCTATTTTCAGATATTAAATAAAACTATTAAATAGTTATCAATTAAACCGAAGTCTCTTGTCAATATATAAACTGTTCAGTATAAATGACGTATCATACAACTAACTATATAAAACTGTGGAAAATAACAGCAATTTTGTTTCAATACGTATGCTATCACGTTTAATTTGATTCCTATTATTAATGTCCTTAGCTACATTTGTTTACAAAATTACAGACTTGTAGCTCCGTACAGTGGCTAGCACACAACCACTCATTCAATACTAGTTCCTTGTTTACCACTCGGATCTGATATCAGTCATCGAATATAGTCGCTAATAATAATGAGGGCTATTAAGATCTTCAGATTTTTGGAAGGTTGTCAATAAATCTTAAAACCGTCCCAGGGATAGTATGCCAGTCAAGTATAGAATCGTAAAAAGAGAATTAAAAATACAATTCTTTTGTACACTATCATAGTGTTATTCAGACAACTTTCTTAATTCTTTTATCTGTTTATATAAATTATTTGATTCGTATTTCCTACGATTCTTTTGCAACAAGCAATACAGCACTATATCGCTTACTTCAAGTTGACCTATAACAAATGAGTAAATAAGCTTTTAATATATGTAACGGTTGGTTAAAACGAATGATCCCCATCGTTTTTGGGGATCATTTTTTTGCATGTATTTTTTGTCCTTAGTAGTAAGGACTTTTGACTTTATAAGTTATAAGTATAAAGTTTATAAGAAAGAAACAGGGAGATCGAGCTTTTCCAAGAAGGTTACTTAAGGACCCCCTAAAAGATCGATGATTTTCTTTAAAAATATCAAAATTGAGTTTATTGTTCAGTTAGATACTCTGAAGTCTCCTCTTTCAGAATATGTGTCGCTTTCAATAAAAAAAAAATAGTTTTTGATAGATTCTAGATCAAACCTTAGATCTACTACTACGAGCATCATCAAACTTGTTTAACGTTTTTCTCAGAACTGATTTTAGCACAGCAAAAATGTTACTCGTCCTAGACGGTTCATCGTAGAATTTTCATTTCCTTTTTATTCTAAAACTGAGACATCAGTCTAAAAATCTATGAAATAGATTTTTGAATTTCGCTGTCTGTTTTGAGAAAGCTAAAAAATACTATCTCGAATTTCAGGGTTTATTCGGAGTTCTGACTTGAAATTTGTGCTAAAAATAAACAAAAGCGAAATTCAAAAATCTGTTTCATAAATTTTTAGATTTAAGTGTCTACTTTTTGAAATTACCCACACCTTTGTACCTCTTCTCAAGAAAAAGTCTTAGCATTTTTGTTGAGATTCCCATTTTGTTCCTAGAGATAATGATTAGGCATGAGCGGTAACGGTAAAGAATTTTTTTTTCGAAATTTGTCGCGGTAAAATTTTTAAGCTTTTACCGTAAGCCGGTAACGGTAATAAAATTATTTGGAAAACTGATTTTACCGAAAATTACCGTCAATAACGGTAAAAAAATTTTTTACCGAAGTTTACTGCAGTAAAATTTTGAGATTTTTTACCGGTTTCAAATTATCGTGATAAAAATTTGAAGTTGTTACCGAAGCGTCGGTAACGATAACACCTCGGTAGTGCTTCAACCTTTGAACGCAGATTTTTATCATAGTCTAGTTAGACAGTAAGCATCAATATATATAAGTTTTATTAAGAGCGCTTGTGAAACAAAATGGATTGTTCTTGAGGGGATCCCCTTAATTTTTCTTGTATCGTTAACACATTGCACGCTGTCCACTGATATATCAGTAGCCCAATTTGTTCTATTCAATGATGTCGTCAGCGGGCAATGGGTTAAGAGTTGGGAAGAAAAGTCCAAAAAACATTATGACCCACCTGTTACATACATTAAAGTTGATTTACTTAATTGTAATATGCCAACATGAAGTAATATACTGCTATATTATCTGAGTCGTAGGGAATAAGTGACCTGCTGTATATTAAATCATCAATTAGTTGATATTACTCGAAAATTATAAATGAAAAGTGAGTTAATTGTATCACGTTCGTTAGATGTTATAGCGAGATCCTGCAAAATTGTTCTATACAGGTACAAGTCTAAAAAAACCTAAAATCCCCATAGTCTAATGATAGCTCAATCAACACCAAAGTTACAGACTGATGATCGTAAAATGTTTGAATATTAACTTATGTCAACGAAAACTCAACAAACTAAACGAGTTATCATCTATCCAATTGCTGCTAGGGATTAGATATATTGCTAACAGTTGTAGCTACTTCGCACCTACAACAACAACGACAGATTATCGATATTAAATACGATACAATATACAGAATTCAGTATAAAACAGGTACATTCACAGAGAACTCAGTAATTTCCATTGACTTTTATACACCTATCAGTTTCGGTGGTTTGCAAATGATTGATAATGATAATAGTGGCACCAATCACAATTTTACGATCGATTTAAAGTTATAAAATTCAAAATACAAAGTTATTTTAATATATCCGATACATTTATGATGAAACATCGCTGTAAGTTAGAATTATTCAGAATGATTTAAACGTTTATGGAAATATTAATAATCATTTGAAACCTCAGGTTTTAAAACAACTTGATGATGATCCTAAAAAAAACAGTTTGAGTATGAAAACATGTCAATGTGAACTGAACACAATTTAATATCATCTATTTCGACAGTAGCACAAAAAAAAGCAAAAAAGAATCGATTTTATCTGCTGCTTATCAAAAAACATCTTTTACTTAAAAACTTCATTAAAATGATCACATAATGCATGAACCAACAATAAAAAGAAAAATTTTTTGAAAATAAAAAACACAACAAGAAAACCATTTAAAAATACTGTTAATGCATTATATATTTATCAATTATACAATAATAACACTCCAACAGTGGAACAGAAAAGATGGATGGTTTCTTTTATCAATATCAATTTATATCACAGATACAGAAACAAATAAAAATAAGTAAAAATTAAAAAAAGATTCAATTATATTTGTTCGTATAAAAATAACGCAACAATAACGAATTTTGACTATATGGGTTGTCGTTAAAAACAAATGCGTAGTGAGAAAGAGAAGAAATACACTTTGACTAATTAAATACCTCTCCATGTAATCAACGTCGACTGTTCAATTGTTTTTTTTTCTAAATCTCTCGCTTCATTATACAGTATCACACCAAATATAACAATTAATGTTCCGAAACCGCTCAAAAATGTTACAGGATTATGAAATATTAACACAGATAACCAAATTAGTAATGCTCGTTTAACCGTATTGGCAACACTAAAACAAAAAGAAAGTTACTTTTACAGTATGCATCGTTTTACAGATTAAGTTGTTTTGTTTTAGGTATCAGATTCAAAAATATGTGAAACTGACTCTCTGAAAACAATTTGAGAGAGCTTATCAGAGCATGCTCTGATTCGAATACATTCAAGAGATAATACAAACGAGACACATTTAGATTGTACCTTAGCTCTTAGATCTGAGTTGAACTCCATTAACACCCTTTTCATTGCAATATGCATAGGCAAATATAAGTTCTACTTCTTAGATTATGACGTGTTTTTTGCAGTGAAAAAGATTGTGATGTTTTTGAGTAGAATAAGGGGCTATCAACAATAGTGTCCTGCATCGGGTTTGACTAAACAGTGAAATTAAAATTCGTTTCTAAAGAGCAAATTTGTCTAAGATGTACACGTTCGATAGAGAAATGTTTCCGCTTTCGAATGTAGTATTTCACGTGGAAAAAGGTTTCACTGACGTGCTGCTAGCAGTCCAAACCC